CTTGATCCCACGACCCTGGGATCATGACCTGAGCCAAAGGCAGTCGCCTAACCAACTGAGCCACCCAGGCGCCCTTGTTTTTATTTTTAAAGATTTTATTTTCTTAAAACCCTGAGAGCAAGAGAGTCGCAGGCTCTTCTGACTGAGCCAGCCAGGCACCCCTGTTGTTTATTTTTAAAAGATTTTACTTTTTTAGGTAGTGTCTACCTGATGGGGATGCTTGAACCTACAGCCCCAAGATCAAGCATTGCACGCACTTCCAACTGATCGGCCAGGAGCCCTGTGTATCATTTCTTAACTAATTCTTCACATTTCTTGCTTTCAGATGGAAAGAACTCAAGTGGATCCAAGCGTTTTAATCGCAAACGTGAACCTTCCTATCCCAAAAATGAAAATTTTAGCAACCAGTCCCGTCGCTCCAATTCACAGAAAAGCAAAACTTTTAATAAGATGCCTCCAGAGAGGGGCGGCGGCAGCAGCAAAATCTTTAGCTCTTCTTTTAATGGTGGAAGACGAGATGAGGTATGGAATTTAAGAATGGTCTTTCTAGAACAAGAAGCAAGAGCTCTGATCCCCCCGCCCCCCGCCCCGGGTTTATCATTAGTTGGGGAGGAGGGGAGAAACAGCTGGAAGAGTAAATAACCAAAGCAGTCTTGAATAGGTGAGAATTTAACTAGGTTTGGAACTTTGCCTCCTTTCTTCCCTTGAAAGTTTTGAAAATTTCCTTGGAGGAGGAAGACATCATAATCCTGGATTGTGAGAAATTATAGCAGACTTGGGGTGCCTTACTTTGTATAGTCCTTCTGTCATCACTCCTGAATTGGAGGTACCTCTTGAATATTTAGGTAATAAAGTGACTTCAACTAATTAATGACATTTGCCCTATAGTATCTAGCAGAATGCAAGATGCTATATCCTTAGTCCCAGGTACTCTGATTTTAGGAGTTTCTTAGGTATCCTTTTATAAGTCTGTAGAGACTTTTGTATAAGGGAGTTAATTATAGCATTGTTGGTAGTTGCAAAATCTAGGAAACAACCTAAATTAGCAAGGGGCTGGTTAAATTATATTCCTGTTTGAATGTTCCATAGTTTGTAACCATTATAGAATAAGACAGATTTAATGTACTTATGGAAGAATTCATTCATTCACCAAAAATTTAGTCCTCCTCTACTGTGTAACAAATACCATTCAGTTTGGAATACAATAGTGAGTGGAATATTGTCCCTCAGGAGCTTATATTCTAGTTTAGGGAGACAATAAATGATTACACAGTTGACCCTTGAACAACACAGGTTTGAACTGCATGGGTCCACTTAAGTGGATTTTTATTTTTTTTTAATAAATACAGTACTGTAAATGTGTTTTGACTTTTTTTTTTTAAGATTTCATTTATTGAGAGAGTGTGTGAGCAGGGGGAGGGGCAGAGGGAGAGAGAGAATCTTATGTAGACTCCATGCTGAGCATGGAGCCTGACATGGGGCTTGATCCCACGACCCTGGGATCATGACCTGAGCTGAAATCAAGAGTCAGACGCTTAACCAACCAAGCCACCCAGGTGTCCCTGATTTGATTTTCTTAATAACATTTCCTTTTCTCTAGTTTTATTGTAAAAATAACGGTGTATAATACCTATAACATATAAAACACGTGTTGAGTGTTTATGTTACTGATAAGGCTTCCAGTCAACAGTAGGTTATTAGCAGTTAAGTTTTTTGGGGAGTCAATAGTCATACATGGGTTTTTGATTGTGCAGGGGGTCAGTGCTCCTAGTGCCTGCATTGTTCAAGAGTCATCTGTATAATAAATCCAAAGGTAAGTGCTTACTGAATTAGCGAAAAGTAGACTAAGAGTTAGGGATAGAGAGTAACAAAGAGTACAGTGTATTTTTTATTTTTTTGAAGATTTTATTTATTAGAGACGAGAGAGAGAGCATGCATGAGTATGTGGGAGGGTGGCAGTGAGAGAGGGAGAAGCAGACTCCCTGCAGAGCAGGGAGCCTGATGTGGGGCTCGATCCCAGGACCCTGGGATCATGACCTGAGCCGAAGGCAGATACTTAACCGACTGAGCTGCCCAGGCTCCCCAAGGGTACAGTTTTAGAAGGTGCCTAAGGAAAGCTGCTCTGAGGAGGTGAAGTATGAGTAGACTCCTGAATGAAGCAAGGGAGCACACCATACAATTTTGAGGAAGAGTGTCTTAGCCAGGTGGAATAACAAGTGCACAAGCAGCAGGGGATCAGAGGTGGTAATGTTTTTGGTTTGTTTGAGGTAAAGCAAGTAGGCTACCCTGGGAGGAGGAGGAGGAGGAGGAGTAGGGAATGAAACTAAAGAATGGGAAAGAGGGTCAGATCATGTGGGGCCTTGCAGGACTTTGACTTTTGTTCAGAGAGATGGGAAGCTGTTGGGGGTTTAAGAAGAGAAGTACTATAATCTGACTTGGAGTTTTAAAGTGAAGAGTGGAACCAGGGAGGTTAGTTAGGAGGCTGTTAAGATTTCTGGTGAGAGTGTTGGAAGCTTTGAAACAGTGATAGCTGGTGAGAGGCGTGCCCGTTGGGGTGATATTTGAAGGTAGAGCCAACATGACTTTTTCAATATGTTAGATATGGGGTCTGAGCAGAGAAATGAATGACTATGAAAAAATGAATGTTTTCGGCAGGAGTCCAATTCAGATACCATATGCTCAAGTGTGGAAGATTTCCAGAGAAGTACAGGGTTTGGGGGTGGTGGGGAGGGAAGGGGAGTTGAGATAAAGAACTTCATTTTGGAAATACATTTGCGTGAAGATGTTTACTGGATTTCTAAGAGATAGGCAGTTAATGGGATCTGGAGTTGAAGGAGGAGACCCAGGCTAGAGCTAGGTGTCTGCATGCATTTGATGTTTACAGCTGTGGAACTAAGTGAGATCATTAAGGAGTAGTGCAGCAGAAAGATTTAAGGACTGAGGCCCGAGTCAGGATCATGAGGCATCAGCAAAAAGGGAGAAAGCCATTTGGAGAAAGTGGTTAGTTTTGCCCTCTGCCAGTAGTCAGAAAATTAGGACTGAAAGTGGACCAGTAGATTTCATAATAGGAAGGCAGGTTGGTGGACCAGTAGATTTGATAATGGGAAGGTAGGTTGTTGGCCTTGAGCTGCTTTGGTGGAGTGGTGAGGACAAAAACCTGATTGGCATAGATTTAGAGAGAATGGAAGAATGGGAGAAAGAAACAGCAAGTTCAGACAGCACTTTTCTGGTGGCTTTGCTCTAAACGGGAGCAGAGAGGTGAGGCAGTAGCTTGAGGGAGTATGAAGTCGAGAGGTTTTAAAGTTAGAGAAATTAACAGCATATCTCTGGTAATGGGATTGTCCTGTGAGGGGGCAAACTTGATGCGGAGGAAAGGGGGAGAATTGCTGGAACAGTGTCCTTGAGTCCCTGAGGAGTTGGGATCTTGTGTACAAGTGGAGGAGTTGGCTTAGATAGGAGCTTTTCCGGTTCATCCTCAGTGACAAGAGGAGGGCAGAGTACTGGTAGGAGGATGTAGGAATTCTTTACTGATTATTCTTACTGTCTCGGTGAAATATGGAAGGTGAGCTGAGGGAGGAGCCTTGGAAGCCTTGAGGAATGGATGACTGGGTGACTGGGGAATTAAGTGGGTACAGAAATGTCATCAGGTTGTGGTAGTATTGCCAGGCAGCCTAAGGGTCTACTTAGTGAGACTGGTCAGTGTGGTGTGGTTGTGTTCTTGTGTATAATTGTCAGGTGCTGGTGTGGAAATACATAGGCAGAGAGTTGGGTTAATCAGGGGAAGGTTTTGCCAGCTGAATACAGATGACAGAGGGGGGTAGTGGACCATAGGATCTAGGCCAAGTAAGGAAAGAAAATTGTAGGGGTGAGTTGGATCACTGGTTTGGAGATCCCAGTGGGGCTAAAGAATTGTGGGAAACAGGACTAAAGGGAACAAGCTAGGAAAGGAGGGAGTTGCTGCTTGGATGTTGGGTGCTCAAAGTTAAGATGGTGGAAGAGGTGTGATTGTTATTCTTAACAGTCTAGATGTAGAGCAGTGCTGTCCAGTAGAAATGCAGGCCACATACATAATTTAAACTTTTCTAGTTGCCACATTAAAAAAGTAAAGAAATGATGAAATTAATTTTTATGTTTTTACCGAATATAGCTAAAATGGTATTGTGTGGCAATGACCACATTTCAGGTGCTCAGTAGCCACATCTGGCTAGTAGTGGTTGCTGTATAAGATGGCACAGATCTAGGTGGTATGTCCTTGGGAATTGCGTTCCTGAGGTAGAGTGGAGGGCAAGCTAATTGAAGGAGGTGAGGGTCAAGGAACTGAGAGGTCAGTGTTTTGGAAGGGTAATTTATCAGGAGTTGTGGTGGGCAGTATTGAAGAGGGGGGCAGTGGGCCAACTAGGGTAACAAGGTGATGATAGAAGGTTGAAGGTGTGGAGGATTTCGTGGAGTGAGCACAAGCTCTTATGTAGGGTTGGGACATTGGGGGTGGAAGACTGATGAGGGGACAGCAGAGCCACATGGAAATGAGCATCCAGGGGATGAGAGGCAACAGATGACCTGGAAGTCATGAGCTCCCTGTGGTCAGTTACATAAACAGTCGGAGGTGTTGTCTCCCAGGATCTAGTGTTGAGATGAAAGGAAATTATTTATGGTTTGCCACTGTACTCTTTTTTTTTTTTAAGCTTTTATTTATTTATTTGACAGCACAAGCAGGGGAGCAGCAGAGGGAGAGGGAGAAGCAGGCTCCCTGCTGAGCAGGGATCCTGATGTGGGGCTCGATCCCAGGACCCTGGGATCATGACCTGAGCCGAAGGCAGCCGCTTAACTGACTGAGCCACCCAGGCGCCCCAGTGCCACTGTACTTAATTGTAAGGGTCCTGTACTTAGGTCTATATGCATAGGATATCTCAGGCCATATTGGTTGCCTCTGCAGTGTAAGGTATCATTCACCATATCCCTCTTTGTACTCTTTAGATTTTTTTTTAAGATTTTATTTATTTATTTTATTTAGAGAGCATGAGCAGGGGGAGGGGCAGAGGGAGAGGGAGAGAGAGAACCTCAAGCAGACTCTGTGCCAAACATGGAGCCCGACGTGGGGCTCCATCTCATGACCCTGAGATCATAACCTGAGCTGAAATCAAGAGTTGGATGCTTAACCAGCCAAGCCACCCAGGCGCCCCTGTACTCTTTATGACGTCTGTGCAGGTGCTGCTTACTAATCTCTAAATTTGACTAGGTAGCAAAAGCCTTAAATTTGTATTTCCTTTGACCCAGTAATTCCTACTATACGTTTAGAAGAAATAATTTCATGTGGCCAAGTATTTGTGCACGAAGATCTATCCAAAAATAGGTGTATCATCATAACATTATTTTGTTACAGAGGAGAAGCTATGAACAGTGTGTCCTAAAGGGGGCATTATAGTATACCGATATGACGTAGTGGATTTAAAGTGACTATATGCTAATACGACTGACATGGCAAAGTGTTTATAACATTAAATGAGAAATTGGGATTAGGAAATGCACTAGCTGACTTAACAGGTATCTACCATTTCAATTTGGGAATGTTAAGAGAGCCAAGAAAAGGGGTGCTTGGGTGGTTCCCTTGGTTAAGCGTCTGCCTTTGGCTCAGGTCATGATCCCAGGGTCCTGGGATTGAGCCCCACATCAGGCTCCTTGCTCAGTGGGGAGCCTGCTTCTCCCTCTCCCTCTGCCTGCCACCCCCCCCCCCGCTTGTGCGCTCGCTCGCTCGCTCTCTCTGTCAAATAAATAAATAAAACCTTAAAAAATAAAAAAGCCGAAAAAGCCCCAACATGATTTCTTCCATCTTTGTGTGCAGTGGTATTTCTCCCATGTGGTTTCTTGCCACTTTCTAAACTGTTTCTGAATCTGCTGATGGAGTTTATTTCTGGACACAGAGGTAGTCTGCCTACATGTTCTAATTCCGTCAGTTTTAATTAACAATGAATAGCAGTGCGTGTCTTAGGAGGGCTCTCTGGCAGGATCCTCAAGCCCATGGCAGTTAGCAGCTGCCGGCAAGCCGCCTCCAGAGTATAGTTCCACAGACTCGCTTTTGCCAGAAACAAGCCAAAGAACAAGTAGCTAATAAGAGTGAAGGTGTAGGAGTCCTATGGGACTGTCAAAAGATTAATCCAGTAAGTAAATCTTTGTACTTCAAGATAGCTAGAGGAGTTCCTGTTGGGTTTTGTCACTTAATGGTTAATTGCCTTTTCACAGGCCAGGCTGAACAGTTTAAGTAATTGTATGTTAAAGGCCCTGGTCCCCCTCTCCACTCACATCCACATCTTAGGTGGACTTTTGTATTACCCTCTCCTAGGAAGATTGTTTACTTTAAGCCTGTGTTTCATTTAGTTAGTATTTTAAGCCATGTAGAAGGAGGGGTTGTGCTAGTTTCTGCTATAAATAATAATCTGAAATACTTGATTCATTCTTGTTCTAGGTAGCAGAGGCTCAGAGGGCAGAGTTTAGCCCTGCCCAGTTCTCTGGTCCGAAGAAGATCAATCTGAACCACTTGTTGAATTTCACTTTTGAACCCCGTGGCCAGGCGGGTCACTTTGAAGGCAGTGGACATGGCAGCTGGGGAAAAAGGAACAAGTGGGGGCATAAGCCTTTTAACAAGGAACTCTTTTTACAGGCCAAGTGAGTATGTCTGCTCTCAGGAGGAAAGTGCAGTTGAGCCTCTGGGCAGTTGCTGGAGCTGAGAAGCAGCTTTTATTTTATTAATTTAGGAAAAGCTTTTATTTAAAAATTTTTATTTGAGAGAGAGAGAGCACGAGCAGGGTGAGGGGCAGAGGGAGAAGCAGACTCCCCTCTTAGCAGGGAGCCCAACTCGGGGCTCAATCCCAGGACCCTGGGATCATGACCTGAGCCAAAGGCAGTTGCTCAACTGACTGAGCCTTCCAGGTGCCCCAGAAGAAGCTTCTTTTAAACGGCTGTGGGAGAGTGGTAGAAAGGGAGTTGATCTGGTTCTTTGTCTCCTCTCCCTCTCTCTCTCTCTCTCTCTCTCTCTCTCTCTTTTTGAGGGGGGTGCGGTGGCAAGTGTTGAAAAACAGCTTTTCAAGCGGATGTTCTTGGTGTTTAAAAGAATATAATGCTTAAATAAATTAACGATAAAATTAATGCTTTTAGTGTCATGATGAGATAGTAAAAGTGTTTGCTTTGGAATTGGACCCAGATTTGAATTTTATTTTCACCTTCAACCTTGGGTAATTTGTTTAGCCACTTTGAGACTCAGCTTCTCCCTGTAAAGGAGGAGAATTACTTAAGGGAGAATTGGATGACAGGTTGGAGTGTTTGGCATATATTTGCTCAAATACTGATTCCCTTTTGTTTCCTTTTGTGTGTCATTAGTTATGTAAGTTTTGACCTTGGATCTCGACTGAAGTAACGGGTTAGTACCTTACATAAATTGGTAGTCAAATGATTGAGAATAGTCTTTCTACTGCCTTGAAGATTAGCTGTGTGCTGAGGTTTCTCATAGGGAGGGAGGGAATCTGGCTCCCTGCTGATTGATGGAGCCATAGTCTAGGTTAATTTTAGCTCAAGGGAGGCCTACAGCAGCTTGGCTGGGCTTGGAAGCGGAAGAAACAGAGTTCATGGTTTTAGACTCCTACTTGCCAAGTCTTTGGATTCCCTCCAGAGCCAGGGCTGAGAGCTGAGGCTGAAGTCCTAGTTCAGTGCTTCACAAACCATGGCTGCTGATGGCCTGTATTTGATTACTAAGTGAAGGAGTAATGACTTTCTGCTGATGGCATGTTGGTGGATTCTGACAGTCTGCCTTTTCCTTGTCTTTTCCCTATTTCCAGCTGCCAATTTGTAGTGTCTGAAGACCAGGACTACACAGTTCATTTTGCTGATCCTGATATCTTAGTCAACTGGGACTTTGTGGAACAAGTGGTGAGTAGTTCAGCTAAGCTTGTAAGCTGTTAGTGGGAGAGAGAACTAAAGAAATGGACCATGGTGACACAGCAGCTGTTGGCTGGTTTCACTGTTGATAACGTTTTTCTGCATGGCCGCCCTGTAGACATTCCCCAGAGATCAGTCCTGGTTTTTCCTCGAGTTCGGTTTGTGCTCTCTAATTGGCTGGTCTACAGGATTGGGGAATTGGAGGACTCTCATCTAAAAGGTACCAAAGCAGCCCTATCTACAACCTCTCCTGGGAAGAAGGAACCAGGGAAATATATGAGGAACTCTGGTTACCCTCCTGACCTGGGATGGACATAACATGGACATGGCTTCATTGGTAGCCATTTGTAGTAATCAGTATCAAATTAGGCCTCAGTCTTGTGGCAGGTGAATGAGCCATTAGCTGCACTGCTAAGCCACTGTTGTGTTTTGTTTTCTGTTGAAGTTAGGAGCTCTGGGTATTCCCTTGCTGTTCTTAGCTTATAGGGATGTAGAATACTTTTTAAGACTATAGGCCTCGGGGTGCCTGGGTGGCTCAGTTGTTAAGTGCCTCCCTTGGGCTCAGGTCATGATCCCATGGTCCTGGGGTCGAGTCCCACATCGGGCTCCCTGCTCCGAGGGAAGCCTGCTTCTCCCTCTTCCACTCCCCCTGCTTGTGTTCCCTCTCTTGCTGTGTCTAGCTCTGTCAAATAAATAAATAAAATCTTTAAACAAAACAAAACTATAGGCCTCAAAGCCTGGCTACCTATTAAGTATGAAAATCCATAAAATCATCAGAGAATGACAAAGAAGTCCTATGAAACCTAAGTTTTATATTCATTGGTTAAAAAATAAAGATGCATATAAAGTGAGTCTCATTGACTTCTCTGCTGGAAAATTACTGGTACATCACCTCTTAACCTTTTTAATGCCTTTGTGTATGTGTACATATAAATCTTTTTTTTTATAAATGGGATCATAGGGGTGCCTGGGTGGCTCAGTCAGTTAAGCGTCTGCCTTCGGCTCAGGTCATGATCCCAGGGTTCTGGGGTCAAGTCCCACATTGGGCTACCTGCTCAGCCTGGAGCCTGCTTCTCCCTCTCCCCACTGCTCATGTTCTCTCTCTCTCTCTCAAATAAATAAAATCTTTTTAAGAAAATGGGATCGGGGCGCCTGGGTGGCTCAGTTGTTAAACGTCTGCCTTCGGCTCAGGTCATGGGTTCGAGCCCGACATCGGGCTCCCTGCTCGGCGGGAAGCCTGCTTCTCCCTCTCCCATTCCCTCTGGTTGTGTTCTCTCTCTTGCTGTGTCTCTGTCTCTCAAATAAATAAAATCTTAAAAAAAAGGGGGGGATCATAGAGGCGCCTGGGTGGCTCAGTCATTAAGCGTCTGCCTTCGGCTCGGATCATGGTCCTAGGGTCCTGGGATTGAGCCCTGCATCAGGCGCCCTGCTCAGCGGGAGGCCTGCTTCTCCCTCTCCCACTCCCCCTGCTTGTGTTCCTTCTCTTGCTGTCTCTGTCAAATAAATAAATAAAATCTTTAAAACAAAAAAAAATCTCATATTGATTCATATATTGATTTTTGTCACTTTTTCCCTTTGTGGAACCTCTAAAATACCTTTTGTGTAGTTATATGTGTATATATATATTTTTATATATGTATATTTAAAGATTTACTTAGAGAAAGAGCATGCACATGTGTGTGCACATGGGGTGGGGGTGGATAGGGAGAAGGAGACAGACTCAATGCTGAGTGGGGAGCCTCATGTGGGGCTTGATCCCAGAACTCTGAAATTATGACCTGAGCTGAAATCAAGAGTGGGATGCTTATGGGGTGATTGGGTAGCTCAGTTGGTTAAGTGACTATCTTTGGCTTGGGTCATGATCCCGGAGTCCCAGGATCGAGTCCCACATCGGACTCCCTGCTCAGCGGGGAGTCTACTTCTCCCTTTGACCTCCCCCCCCCCCATGCTCGCTCTCTCTCTCATACATAAATAAAATCGTAAAAAAAAAAAAATGGGATGTTTAACTGACCGAACCACCCAGGTGCCCATTGTTACTCTATTAAGCCATTATTGTGGTTTCCTTAATGATTTACTTAAAGTGTTATATACCTGCTTTTTTTTTCTTTTAATATACCTGCATTTTTGAACAATTTTGTGAAGATGTGTTGAGTAGGAGATGTACAGGGTTGGGGATGGGAGAGAAGAGACTTTGACTTTGACAGTCCTTTGTCAGTTTGAAAGCAGTATAACTTGTGGTGCCGTTTTGTTTCAGCGCATTTGTAGCCATGAAGTGCCATCTTGCCCAATATGCCTATATCCACCTACTGCAGCCAAGATAACCCGTTGTGGACACATCTTCTGCTGGGCATGCATTCTGCACTACCTTTCACTGAGTGAGAAGACCTGGAGTAAATGTCCCATTTGTTACAGTTCTGTGCATAAGAAGGATCTCAAGAGGTGAGATGGAGACATTTAATAGATTAGACCCCCATCTGCTGACTCCTTGCTCTTTTCCATCTAAATGTCCATGTTACAGTGTTGTTGCCACAGAGTCACGGCAGTATGTTGTTGGTGATACCATTACGATGCAGCTGATGAAGAGGGAGAAAGGGGTCTTGTTGGCTTTGCCCAAATCCAAATGGATGAATGTAGGCCATCCTATTCATCTAGGAGGTGAGTTCTGTTAATTTAGGGGGTAAATAATCGTGGCTACATCCTTTAAGGCTACCTAGTATTAATCTTTCTAATCAGAAATTGAGCCTTTGGGGCAAGCCATTTCTAGCATTTCCAGATCACTTTTAGAATTCTGGTAGGTTAGAGGGGAGTTTGCAGAGAGCAGCTTAACCCTTGGTTTCAAGTATGGTTCAGTTATATATATTTTAATTTTAAAGATTTATTTATTCACTTACTTGAGAGAGAGAGAGAGCGGGAGAGAGCATGAGGAGAAGCAGGGTCTCCGCTGAGCAGGGAGCCCGATGCAGGGCTCGATCCTGGGACTCCGGGATCATGACCTGAGCCGAAGGCAGCTAGCTGCTTAACTGACTGAGCCTCCCAGGTGCCCCTTAATTTTTCATTTTGTTGAAATAGTGCCTGTCAAGGAACTCAGTAGTAGAAGAGACATACTGGTGGCCAGGCAATTAGAATATAGAATGTGAGAAGTATTCACAGTGAGGAAAGTGCACAGGGTTGTATGTCCTATATTCCTTGCAGAAACGAGTATTGATTAAAGAAAGTGGCATTTCAGTTTCTGGGCAAAAGATATTTCTCAGTAAACAGTATTGAAACAATTGATTCTTCTTATGGAAAAAAAAATTAGATCCCTGTCTCATACCATTCATAAAAATCAATTCTTCATGGATTGAGTAACTGAATTTTTAAAAATCTGAAACAGTTAAGAAAAAATATGGGACAGTATCTTTATAAATCCTCAGGTAGGGATGGATTTTTGAACCAGTCTAAAACCATAGATGCTATAAAAGAAAAAAAAATATATGTGATTTTATAAGAATGAAATCTGACAAGATTCCTTGAAGTCAACAGGTGATAAACTAGGGGAAGATTTACACATTTTTAATTAATTAATTAGAGATTTTATATATTAGGGAGAGCACAAGCAGGGGGAGCGCAGGCAGAGGGAGAAGCAAGCTCCCTGCTGAGCAGGGAGCCTGATGCGGGATTTGATCGCAGGACCCTGGGATCATGACCTAGCCTAAGATAGACGCCTAACTGACTGAGCCACCCAAGTGTCCCAGATTTACACATTTAAAAACTAATGTACAGTACGTACAAGTGTCCTATAAATTAGATTAACAACCCAGTAGAAGAATGGGCTAAGTATGTGCAAAAGCATTTTCTAGAAAAGGATATTGGAATACCTCCTAAGAATTATAGAGATTTAACTTTGCTAAGAGTTTGTAAATCAAGGCGCCTGGGTGGCTCAGTCGTTAAGCATCTGCCTTCAGCTCAGGTCATGATCCCAGGGTCCTGGGATCGAGCCCTGCATCGGGCTCCCTGCTCGGGGGGAAGCCTGCTTCTCCCTCTCCCACTCCCATTGCCTGTGTTCCAGCTCTTGCTGTCTCTCTCTCTGTCAAGTAAATAAATAAAATCTTAAAAAAAAAAAGTTATGTAAATCAAAATGCCTATCAGATTGAGACACAAGAAAAAGAAAAAAAACATTGGAAATATCAGGTTTTGGGAGGGGTAGGAAAATGAGTACTGTTGTTCTTGGTGGCAGTATAACTTGATGTATCCTTTTGGGGGGAGCAATTTGGTAGTATTTAAAATATGCACAGGGGTGCCTGGCTGGCTCAGTTGGAGGAACGTGGGACTCTTGATCTCAGGGTTGTGAGTTCAAGCCCCACATGGGGTATAGAGATTACGTAAATAAAACTTAAAAAAAAAGCACAACTTTTGATCCAGCATTTATATTTAAATATCATAAGGAAATTATTTGCACCAAGGAGCATGTATAAGGATTTTTTGTTAAAATGTAATAGAAATTGACAATAAGCTGCATGTTCCATAAAGAACTTACTCAAAGTAGAGTGTATCATACTGTGGAGCACAATACAGAAGGTAAAAATTGGATCTCTGTATTAATATTTTGAGAGATTTTAGCACACATTGGATGAAATATGAAGAACAAAGCTTAGAGTTTATCATTTATGGAAAAACCTTTATTTCTTTAAATGAACATGGGTATATAAATGTATAGAAAAAGATTTGATGAAAACATTGAAATTTGTAAATGGTTATTTCTGGGTGGGTACTAGGATGGGAGAGTGGGGAATGGTATTTTGAGGGTTTCTCAAAAGAATATTGTCTTAAATTTTTGAAAAAGTACAGAAAATATGGGGGAGGGAAGTAAAGGAAATCAATCCCCCATGATCCTTTTACCCAGAGGTTACCCCAAAATTGTAGATTTTTTTTCTATGCATTTATATTTTTGGGAGATTAGGATTAAATTTTCTAGTTTGGTGTCTGCATTTTATTCAGTAACATATTTCTACATGTCAATAAGTGTCTTCAGCAAGCCATTTTTATTTTAAAAAATTTTTTTAAAGCTTATTTATTTTTATTTTAAGTAATCTCAGCATCCACCATGGGGCTCAAACGCATGACCTGGAGGTTAAGAGTTGTGTGCTCTCCCAACTGAGCCAGCCAGGTGCCCCAGAAAACCATTTTTAATGTCTGCAAAATTCTCTTTAATGAAATATGCCATCATGTCATTAACTGTTTCTTTATTATTGGACTATACTGGTTGGTAGTAGCTTTTTTGATATTACAGATGATGATGTAATCATTGAATATTGTTTGGCTAAATTTTTTTTTTTACTGCATCTTTTTTTTTTTAAAGGCTAATTTTTTAATTTTTTTTAATTTTTTGTTTTTTAAATATTTTATTTATTTATTCGTGAGAAACAGAGAGAGAGAGAGAGAGAGGCAGAGGGAGAAGCAGGCTCCCAAGGAGCAGGGAGCCCGATGCAGGACTCGATCCCAGGACTCTGGGATCATGACCTGAGCTGAAGGCAGACGCCCAACCATCTGAGCCACCCAGGCGCCCTGCATCTCTTGTTTTCTTAGATGCCTTATAAAATGGGGTCAGAGTTAGAAACCTTGTATTAAGGTCATTGTTAAATTATTTTTTAGAAAATTACGTTAAATTATTCCATCTTTGCAACTTAGGGGAAAAAAAGCTGTGTGTAAAACTTCCTCTGTAGCCACGCGCTTGCTTTGAATGTTGCATTTTTGTGGTCTTGCCGGCTTTTCTGTAGATGAACAGCACAGCCAGTACTCCAAGTTGCTGCTGGCCTCTAAGGAGCAGGTGCTGCACCGGGTAGTTCGGGAAGAGAAGGTAGCTCTGGAGCAGCAACTGGCGGAGGAGAAGCACACTCCCGAGTCCTGCTTTATCGAGGCAGCTATTCAGGAGCTCAAGGTAAGACGGTGCCTGGAAACAGGATAGGGTGGTGGGGATAGGTTACCTCGGTCCCACATTTAAGGTAGTGACCAGGGAAAGGCTAAAAAAGCCAGTTTGCTCTAGGTTTTGGTGATGGGAGGGAAGGGCTGACCTAGTGATTTTTGTGTTTTATTTTGACGGGGGCACCTAGTGGTTTTTAAAATGCTCTCTGGAGCTGAAAGGAAGAAACTAAAATCTTATAGCTAGTTGAGTCACTGAAGTCTCTTAGATTCTGAGTTAAGCAAGGTAGACTTTTTTTTTTTCCCCTAAGAAAACACTTGGATTTATTTTTACAGATGTTTTATTTGAGGGACATTTTGAAGAAAGTATGGCCTATCCAGCAGGCCCTAGCAATGCCTGCTGAGGATTTGGAGCAGCAGGAATTTCCCAAATACAGAATTTCCTAAGCTCTGTACCCTTTAATAGGCATCAGAATCCCTGGTTGTCGGGCTCTCCCCTGAGAAGTGGATTCAGTCAAGGCTGGGCGCAGTAGGCTTAATAATTTGCATTATAATGCGTTCCAGGGTGATTTTGATGTTCATCCTCAGACCATATTTTGAGAATTACAGATCTTAATTAGAGCAAGGAAAGGCCTTGTTTATTGAGCACTTGGCATGTGACAGGCCCTGTGTGGAGGTACCGTATTTACATTTATCTCACTTAAGCGTCATATCCTGGTGTGATAGATACACCTATCGCCTTTCATGGATGAGGACATGGAGTCATGGGTTACGTAAGGTAATTTGTTTGAGGACATATAACTAATAAGAGGTGAAGCTGATATTTGAATTCCTGTCTTTTCTGAGCCTTCTCTGGCAGGGTACTGTGTATTTAATTTGTTTTTTTTCCTATAATGTAGAGCATTTGTTCAAGTGCATTTCAGAGAAGAAGAGCTATATAGTAGAGCTGTCCAGGTTGAGGTGGGCGTTGGCCAAACCCCTGCCTCTTGCACTGGGGCCCTTTAAGCGGAGCTTATAAAGACAAGAAGACGAGTTCCGTGTTCTTGGATTTTTATTCAGGAAGCTTTTGTGTAATGTTATCATTGTCACTGTCACAGATTCTAAGCAGAATACCATCCCATTTGGGTACCAAGTGCTTTTTGCTTCCTGTTTCCTTTAAAGATTGAGGATTTGAAGTACTTAAAATCCAGGCACCCCTGGCAGTTAACGTTCTAAGACCAAGATTGAAAATAGTCAAAATAAATAATCAAAATATATAGGATTAGATGAAATGAATGCTATGGAGAAAAATAAAGCACTGAGGGGGGATGGGAGCACTCTTCCCATTGGGTCTTTGTTGCCTTTTAACTTACGCTCCTGTGGAGAGAGTCCGTTGTAAGCCCTTGCCAAATTCAGTGTTTCTGGAAACTTTAGCTTTCTCTGGTCTTCTCTCTGGTGGTCTAGACTCGGGAAGAGGCTCTGTCAGGATTGACTGAAAGCGGAAGGGAGGTCCCTGGTGTTGTGCCTGCTCTGGAACAACTGGTGCTGATGGCTCCCTTGGCAAAGGAGTCCGCTTTTCAACCCAGGAAGGTGAGTGTGTCCCTGTTCCAGACTAAACGGCTGCCGTTCGTCAGTGCTGCTGTTGAGGTGGTAGGCGCTGGACTTTGTGGGGAGAGGAGGGGCTATGAGATTTCCTGCTTATTAGTTCTTCACCCAGGGATGTTAAATCTGTGAATGTGACAGCTAAGAAAAACATCCAGAGAACTTGGTTCCGGTGCCTACCTTTGCCACATGTACTTTCTTTTGATGTAGAATTTGTCCCAACAGGGTGTGCTAGAGTATCTGTCTGCTTTTGATGAAGAGACCACCGAAGTTTGTTCTCTGGGTTCCCCTCATCCTCTTGCTCTCCCTCTGGTGGAGGAAGAGGAAGCAGTGTCTGACCCAGAGCCCGAGGCCTGTGATGACTCAGAGTTAGCAGATGACAGTCTCGGAGAGGGGACCATTTGCCCTGAGTCCAGCCAGCAGGAACCCATCACCAAGCCAGGCTTCACACACCTGAGCAGCTCTCCTTGTTACTACTTTTATCAAGGTGAGTGTCCCCGAGAGGAGGGCTGCGTTGCCATAGAGAGGTTTCAGCCAGATGACCTGGCCTCTTAGCAGGAGGAGGTATTGCTGCTGGTTGTGGGCGCTTGGGTCTGTTGTGCCTTCGGCCTCGGGGAGGGAGAGGCAGGCCTACCTCTGCGGGGGGCCCTCTTTTGAGGACTGGCCAAGACTGTTGTGTGAGAGAGCGCTTGTCTTCAGCGGAGGACGGGCAGCACATGTTCCTGCACCCTGTGAACGTGCGCTGCCTTGTGAGGGAGTACGGCAGCTTGGAGCAGAGCCCGGAGAAGATCTCGGCGGTAGTGGTGGAGATCGCTGGCTACTCCATGTCCGAGGTAAGGTCCTGCCTGCCCTGAGGGGCACGGTTCCGGAGTGCCATCAACCTGTTCTCTTTGACGTGGGCCAGCCAGCCCATGCTCCCAATCCTTCAGGGATTGTAGCTCTTGTATTTGTAAGTCTATTTTTGTCACTGATGATGCCCGCAGAGTTTTGAGAGATTAAATGGTGCTCCCTTATCTTGCTGGGGTTCTGTTAGTCACTGCTGCTCTCTGCTTTACTGGTTCATTTATTGTGGTTTGTCCCACTTTCATTCAGGATGAGTTTGTTTTTCTGTTTTTCTTTATGGCTTGGGAAAAATGTCCAAGGAATCGAAAAGTTCTTGGAGGCTTTACGCTAGGTTATACAAGCTTGAAACACATTTTTGGCTCAGCAGATAACCTGTTAATTATTGTCTGATAATTTACATATGTGAGTTTCTACCCTTTGAGAATTATCCCCGTGTTGATCACAAATTTGTTACAAGCCTCAAAATTAGAGACTCTATGAGTACCATAAACTTTCCGTCAAACATGCAGAAAATGAATGGAAAAGAAAGTTAAACTTAAATTGATGGCCTTCATTTTTTTTTTTTTTTTTAAGATTTTATTTATTTGAGAGAGAGAGAGAAAGCATGAGAGGGGGGAGGGTCAGAGGGAGAACCAGACTCTCCGCTGAGCCGGGATCCCGATGTGGGACTCAATCCTGGGAACTCCATGATCATGAACCGAGCCGGAGGCAGTTGCTTAACCAGCTGAGAGCCACCCAGGTGCCCCAGATGGCCTTCATTTTTTCACTGTTTCAGGCCAGGCTTTATTCATAGGGAAATCTGCTTTATCTGCCTTCCCAGTTATCTTTAATTCTGTGAATCCCAGATTTTCAAATACTCTTTTATCTCCCCTTGTTCTCCCCCCTCAGTTGTGGGCCCCAGAAAATCAGAAATAGCTGATCAGCTTTAGATTATTTATTACCAAGTTATTCATTCGCAGCACAAACCTAAAAACTGCCTTTTGGTGGCGTATTCTACCTTATTGTATGTTAATTGACAGTTTCTGTTTCGCTTTGCAAAGTGGTGATAACTTGAGTACTGCTCTTTGAGCCCCCCGTGCTGTGAGTGTGCTGTGTGTGAGGTGCGTACTCCTGGCTGTCTAGGGTGGGAACCTCTGTCCTCAGAGCCTGGCCCGGTGTTAGTTGAGTTTTGGTCCCTTTTCCGTGGTAGGACGTTCGACAGCGCCATAGATACCTCTCTCACCTGCCGCTCACCTGTGAGTTCAGCATCTGTGAGCTGGCTCTGCAGCCTCCTGTGGTCTCTAAGGAAACCCTAGAGATATTCTCAGGTAAGAATGCACCCACTCTGCTTCTCTTGATGGAGGAGTTCAGGGGTTCTTCTGACTGGAAACCCAGTGTGGGAGGAATTAAGGAGCTCCATCATGAGCCTCCATACCTCCAGAAACACTCCCATCTATTCATCCAGTCTGGCTGTCTCCTTATGTGGCCTTAGCTGCTAGTCACCTGGGAGGAGTTAATGGTTAGGCTGTCCTTGGGCTGCCTCCTCACCATGTGACCAACCCACAGATGACATTGAGAAGAGGAAGCGTCAGCGCCAAAAGAAGGCTCGGGAGGAATGCCGCCGGGAGCGCAGGATTGAGATGGAGGAGAACAAGAAACAGGGCAAGTGTAAGTTCAGGAGCTCTCATAATTGACTAGTATAGCTGCGCATCATCTTAGGAGAGGCTCAGTGCTTGGGCCCAGGAGCCAGACTGCTTGGTTCACATCTCAGCCCTGCCACTTGTTTTCTTCAACTCTTTTTTTTTTTTTTTTAAAGATTTTTATTTATTTATTGAGAGAGAGAGAGAATGGTAGCACGAGAGGGAGGAAGGTCAGAGGAAGAAGCAGACTCCCTGCTGAGCAGGGAGCCCGATGCGGGACTTGATCCTGGGACTCCAGGATCATGACCTGAGCCAAAGGCAGTCGCTTAACCAACTGAGCCACCCAGGTACCCTCTTCAACTCTTATATGTGAATCATGAGGGTACCTCCTGCATAGTCTTGTTTGAGAATTAAGTGGGTTAATGTGAGTCAAAGCTCATAGCTCTTAAGGGATGAGGTTAAATTCATCCTTGGCGTAGTGGTGAAAAAACATGTTCTGGGAAGAAAATTGGAGATCTGCTGAATTTGGTGGCTCATTGTCTCCTGTGCACTCTAGATGGAACATTGATCCCACCTTTGACTGTACTAAAGGGGACATCTGTACCTAGCAGAGCATGTCTGCCAAGGGGGTCTGATATAGTAGAAACCTTGACAAACTAGGAAATACGTCCAGGTTAGATTTTTCATACCAGTAAGTGAGTCTTTTGATCTGCTGCTCCAACGTAAGCTTCATTGAACCCAGGAGATGAGCGTGACATGAGGGCCTACTTTCCTCCAGAAAACAAAGAATTGAATCTTCTGCTAGGAAAGGACTTCACTGTTTTTGACTACATATAGTATGGTAAACATAAATTTTACTTCTCTGGGGTGTCTGGGTGGCTCAGTTAAGTGTCTGCCTTTGGCTCATGTCATGATCTCGGGGTCCCGGGATCAAGCCCCACATTGGGCTCCTGGCTCAGCAGGGAGTCTGCTTCTCCCTTTCCCTCTGCCTCTCTCCCCTGCTCATGCTCTCTGTCTCTGTCTCAAATGAATAAATTAAAAAAAAAAAACTTAAATTTTTTTACTTATTAAACTAGGTTAAGTATGTAGCTGGGGTCCCAATGCTATATAGCTGTTTGGCACATTTCCCAAATGTTTGAAAAACTGGTGTTTCAGGAACAGGGGCTTTTTGTTTTGCCTTCTTTATTATGGAAATATTCAAAGACAAGTATGTAGAATAATATAGTTAAGCCTCATGTTTATCATCTAGCTTCAATTAGGAATAGTAAGAACAAAGGATTTATTTATTAATTTTTATTTTTTATTTCACTTTTTTAAAAGATTTATGTATTTCAGAGAGAGTACATGCACAGGCAAGTGGGGTGGGGGGAGGGAGGGGGGCAGGTAGAGGGGGCAGGGCAGAGGGAGAGAATCCCCAAGCAGACTCTCCCCTCTGAGGGCAGAGCCCAAGGTGGTCTCGATCTCATGACCCACGAGGTCAAGACCTGAGCTGAAATCAAGAGTCAGATGCTTCACCTACTGAGCCACCCAGATGCCCCTAAATTTGGGTTTTAAAGCTTCTGTTTACATCCTTTTTTTAGACCCTTGGGGGATTCATATTGATGGTCCTCAACTATTGGAAAAGATTTGAGGAATATTCTAAATGGGCCTACCATTCTCATCTTTTCTTTGCAGACCCAGAAGTCCACATTCCCCTAGAGAATCTACAGCAGTTTCCTGCCTTCAATTCCTATACCTGCACCTCCGGTTCTGCTTTGGGTCCCACCAGCACTGAGGGCCATGGTGCCCTCTCCCTTTCTCCTCTTAGCAGAAGTCCAGGTTCCCAAGCAGGTAAATGAGTTGGGATTTAAAGAATGAAGTTGGCCACTAGCCACAGACCTTAAGTAAAGCCCTGGTGTCTGAATTTACAACTCTGACCTACGCAGCATGGTGGGATCTTTAGGTGACTAACATTACTTTGGATAGTTAATATATTCCTGAGGTACGTCAGATTTTTGCCATTTTGATTCACCTTTCCCATTGGCTGTACTGACTACTTTATACCCTGCTGTCTTCTAAAAATCTCAAAACCTCAAGGCAGTTCATATGGCAGGACAGTTTAACTTAGATTCTTCCTTGTGACCCAGCTGTTTTATTTCTAGTTTGTACTTGTGATATAATCCCCTTGTATGCCTAAGCATCTTTGTACATGTCTCCTTATTGTAGCATTGTTTATAATGGGGGTGGGGGAGGCTTATGAAATCTGGTGGTAAGGTAATGGCTGAATTGTATAGCATTTATACTATGAAATACTTTACACCTTTTGAAGAGGTTAATCTTCATAAAGTAATGGGTGGACCTTTAAGATAAAAGGAGGTTGTAGAACAAGACAAAGTATGATACCACTTGGGGGTTTTATTTATTTATTTTTTTAAGTAGACTCCACGCCCGATATGGGGGTTTGAACTCATGATCCTGAGATCAAGTTGTATACTCTACCAACTGAACTAGCCAGGCACCCCACATTTGTGGATTTTAAAAGAACATAAAAATCAGCATTTTGTTATGGGTTGTTTATATATCTAAATGTGTAGAAAAATACTGAGGGGCGCCTGGGTGGCTTAGTCATCAAGTGTCTACCTTCAGCTCAGGTCATGATCCCAGGGTCCTGGGATCGAGCCCCGCATTGGGCTTCCTGCTCCACGGGGAGCCTGCTTCTCCCTCTCCCATTCCCCCTGCATGTGTTCCCTCTCTCGTTGTGTCTCTGTCAAATAAATAAAATCTTAAAAAAAAAAAAGAAAAATACTGAGATGATTATGTTCTAAACTGGTAATGGTGTTTTACTCTAGGAAGTGAGGTCAGGATTCAGAGGTTGTTCAAAGAGGCTTTAGCCATTTAAAATACTTTTTTAAAGAGAGAATGTATTGTGTTATGAAATTAAACATTTATCTTTTCTAATCTTCATCCACATGGCGGATAGTTTTTGATAATTAAAATGTATTTCTTTGCCAGCCATTTTAATAAAATGTCCAAAGCAGAGTATTTAAAACTCTTGGTGACCCTCTTGTGATCGTATGCCTGTCACTTTGCAGATTAGTAGCCTGAGGCTAAGGCAGGGGCTTAGTGACAGGAATATGACTGAAACCTGCATCTTGAGGGCCATGCGCATGACCATTATGCTCTTTAGTTTAAGAAGAGGGCTGCTATACAGAGGAATATGGCAAAACATAATCATCTCAGCTGACTCTCCAGGGCTAGGTACTAGGGACTGTCATGGACTAGTTTTATGTGAATGAAAAAGTTTCAAGAAAAAGATAAAATGTGATCAGGTTAGCCTTTATATTCCGGCCAGATGTCTCTGACCTGGGAATATTCAGTTAGAATCCAAAACACACACACACGAACAAAATCTAGTATGAAGATGCAAGCTTTTCCTTGATACTCCCTAGGTAATAGTCTCCATCCTTTCTGACCTAGAGTTGAGCATTTCCCACAGGTCTATCCACTGTCCTGATCACTGCTGGGAGGGAAGGGCCTATTCACTCTTCCAGTAGCAGACCCTTCCGCAGTCAGCCAAAGCTATTTAAGTACACTCATTCCTAGCACCATCCAACTGCTCTTGCATAACATTGATTACAGTATCTGTGATATAAAAATTGTGTTTGTGTATGTGCTTTCACATACTAACTTTTCTAAGGCAAGAGTCAGCTGCTTTGAAAAGGGTTTTTCTTAGTGTGGGAATAGATTCTGCCATGCTTTCTAGTATTACTGTGACTACTAAACTTTTCTCTCCCTAGATCACTAGTGTGAATAGTGGGCCATGTTCTTGACTTTATAAGAATATGGCAGAATTGAAATTGCATCAGGTTTGCTTTTTGAGGTGGGGCTGGTAATTATCCAGACCTGATTCAGGGTTCATCTTTTCTCTCATGTTAAGAATAGACTAGCTCCTTGGAGCTTCACTTACATAATTAGGTCTGCTTTCCTTTCAGACTTTCTGCTGACCCCTCTGTCACCCACTGCCAGTCAGGGCAGTCCTTCATTCTGCGTTGGGAGTCTGGAAGAAGACTCTCCCTTCCCTTCCTTTGCCCAGGTAAATCTTTTGCTTGTAAAACAGCCCAAGGGTATCTAACATGAACTCTGCAGCTTGTTCTTTCTGGAAATCTTTCCGTTGGAAAAGGAGAGACTTACAGGCTAATGTTGCATGGATGGTAATAGTCATGGGAAGCTTTTTTAAGAGGAAATCTCATGGATTTAGTCTCAGATACCACTGTATAGACTTACCGAGGAAAGAGGCCAAGAGTAGCTGAGGGAGAATCAGAGCTTCAGTTATTTAACAAATCATTAGATACTTGGGTAGTGAGCACTGTTTTAGGGGCTGGGGAGACATCAGTCAATTTTAGCTGATCCCTAGTTCTAGGACCTTGGATTCAGGTAGGGTGTATCTGTTACAGATAATAAACCATTCCTCTTCACTTTGGGAAGGGAAAGGTCTTGGTTGTTCTATAACTAGCCAGTCCAGCTTTCTTGGGCAGCTGGGTTAGAGGAACACTAGGCTAGTGACACTTGTCAGACCCCCCCCAGTAATTGAAGTATTTTATGTACAACGAGTTAGCATTAAGATAGGTCTCTTGGATGACCCATTCAAGGAAGTTCACTTAATCCAATTTACTGAAGCCTGTATTCTTTGAGTACTGATGGAAACACTGGTGGCACATACTGAGGTCCTATTTCCGGATCTCAGACCGTGTGGGTTTGAGCAGACACAGCAAGAACGAGAGCCCTGGCTAAATTTCCTTGGATGGCTCCGGTAGAGCTGCTGGTGACCCAGCTTGCTCTCTTGGATGCAGCGACGCAAAAGAATGTCAGATGACTTTATTAATCTTTAAAACAACAAACCAACACTCAGCATTCCTGCATTGAGATAACTAAGGAAGATGGATGGACAGCTTGCCAAGCACCCTCATTAGAAGTTAGTATTAACCTCTTTGGGGCTAGTTTGGAATCATCAGCTTAACAGTTCCTTAGAGCAGGTGATAATGGATGTTTCTCACAACGAATGGCAGTGTGTGCTGAGAAAAAAGCAGGAATTGGACTTTGGTAAGGAGAGTCCTGAAGTCAAGGAGGAAGAAATAATTGAGAGTAATCCCACATATTAACTGGTAGGCTTCAGAGGTGATAATTATGCAAGTGGCTTCCAGGAGTTATGTCAAAGGCTTAAGTTGTTTTTTTAAGCTAGGTTTTATTGCCATTGCTTTTTTTCAGCATTATATGGTGAATAACTTCAAACTTAAAAGCGTTGAAGGAATAGCATTATGAACGCTTTTTACCTTTCACCTAAGTTCACCAGTTGTTAGCATTTTGCTAACAATTCTCTTTTTACTGTTTTACTATGTTGAAAATAAGTTACAGACCTCATGAATTGACAGTTCACCACCAAATACGAGACAAATGGCCCCCCAAATGACATTCTTCTGTATAAGCACAGTTGTCATGACCACATCAAAGAAATTCAGCTAATTAAATACCTCATATAGTATATATTTCTATTTCTCCATTTGTCTCAAGGGTCCTGTATTTTCAGTTAGGTCCAATCAAAGATTGCTCATCATATGTATTTGTCAAGTCTCTTCAGTCTCCTTTGATCTATAACAGTTTCTCTAGCCTCTTTTTTTTTTTTGTTTATTTTCTTCCTATGGCATGGATATTTTTGAAGCATCCAGGCCATTTGTTGTATATGGAGCTCTAGAGTTTGGATTTGTTGGTTTCTTTTTTTCATGAGTAGATTCGGGTTAAACATTTAAACCTTCATAGGTGATATATTTTTTAATGACCTTTTAAGAGTAAGATGATTCGGATGCCATATTATTTGAACCCCAAACTCCCAGGGACCAAGGGAAAAGATCATGATAAAGAAAGGTTATTCAATGAAATCAACTTCTGCCAGCCCAACTCCATTTGAATAATAATCGTACCTCACTTCGGGACACATACTTCAGAACAAGAAATTCCTATTTGAATCTTGTGGGGCTTGTCTCGTGGTATTTTTCCAGGAATAAAACCTGCTGCTTTGAGCATGGCATGTGTGGCAGATGGGACTCACACTGGCCCTCAATAATTTAAGAAGCTGCCCTTGGCCAGATGAGATGAAAGAGTTCCTCATTCAGGGGCAGGAGGGATCGTTCTGATTTTACTCTACATGGAGGAATCTGGTCTATGGCTGGATCTAAAAGTTAATTATTAAGGAGCCATTGGAAAAGACTGAAGGGTAATGAAGGTTGTTGGAGCAGTTTCAGGATAAAGTTAAATTTATTCTGGTTTTCTTGGCCTTAAAGTAACTGGAATTCAATAGCCAGGTGGTTCATTTTAAAATTGGAGGGTACTGCACACTGCTTATTCCAAGAGGTTTATGTTTTTAGGGGTCCCAAGAAGAGTGGGGAAAACTTATCAGAAGGGAGTGACACAAAGTCAGGATTCCCAACTGAGTTAAGAACCTCTTGTGCTGTCAATGCACTATTCTTTACCTGTTTCCTAAGGAACAAAACAGGCTTTGGCCTTACACCTTGGGAACTTCACTGCTTGTTCTACTGGTCAGGATAGAACATGACTGAAATAGTGTGTGGAAGAAAGAAGTACCTGGAAAATCCTTTTTTCCAGAGGTGATAATTCTTTGTCCTCCTAGCCAGTTAGTGTCAAGACAAGTCTGGAAAAGAAATTGGTTACTTAAATTCTTTTCTCCCTTCTTTCCCACTTTGGCAGATGCTGAGGGTTGGAAAAGCAAAAGCAGATGTGTGGCCCAAAACTGCTCCCAAAAAAGGTGAGAATGACCTTCTAGTGGAGGGGGAATTTGGTCCCTTTCAGAAAGTCAGAGTCTCTAGAATTGTCTCTAAAATTGTAACACTGGTATTTTGTAGATGAAAACAGCTTAGTTCCTCCTGCTCCTGTGGACAGCGATGGGGAGAGTGATAACTCAGACCGTGTTCCTGTGCCCAGTTTCCAAAATTCCTTCAGCCAAGCTATTGAAGCAGCCTTCATGAAACTGGACACACCAGCTACTTCAGATCCCCTCTCTGGTAAAAGCAAAGAAATGGAGTGCTCAGTACAGGGTTGTCATTCCCACCTGGATCCCGTGGTGGACATCACTAATTAGGAACTTCTCTCTGAGCCTGTAGGTTCACATGCTATTGTCAGCTAATAGTCCTTTTGGTATGTCAGATAGGACCTTTTTGCCACCCCACATTAATTCTTGAGGCCTAGATGTGAAATTCTGAGAAACTCTATTTTGTCCCTTCTAAGACATAGTAGTGGAGAGTAGATTTTAGAATCCTGAGTTTGGTAGAGGGTGGCTAATAGATGGAGAAGTCAGGCTTGAAGCCCACACCACTCTGTGGTTATTCAGTTAGACAAGAACATTAACATTTAGGGTGTGCCTTCTCTGTGCTTAGCATTGTGCTCATTTTATTCTCGCACCAACTATATTAAATGGGTAGAACTATCACGGGTAGAGCAGTTGAGGAAATGGGTCTAGGGATGTAAAGGGACTTGCCCAAATACCTGGAGCATGCAAAGACTGGTATCTGGATCCATGCAGTCCTCATCCTAGAACCTTAGCTGCCTCTCTGGGACTCTCAGGAGTGAAAACTGACTGTGGGCAAGGGGATGGCATTCAAAGCTAAGCTCTTTCTGTGTTTCCATTTAGAAGAGAAAGGAGGAAAGAAAAGAAAAAAACAGAAACAAAAGCTGCTGTTCAGCACCTCAGTCGTCCACACCAAGTGACACTACTGGCCCGGCTACTTTCTCCATCTGGTTTTCTTTTTTCTGTGCTTTTGTTTTGCTGCTGTAATTTTTAAGTATTTGAGTTTGAAAAGATTAGCTCTGGGGGGAGGGGGTTTCCACAGCGTGAGGGGGAACCAAGAAAATTTTAAATACAGTGTATTTTCCAGCTTCCCATCTTTACACCAAAATAAAGTATTGACACAAGAGATCTCTTCCTGCCAAGATTTTTAGTTTGTTACCAGGGTTAGTCTTTTTTTTGACCCATGTGTAATTAGTTTTTCTCACCCCAAATAAGTTTGAGTCCGTTCACCATTGCTTGGAACAGCCCACACCCCAGAGTGTTCTAGCACTGCTCTGCTGACATGTCAGAGCCTCATGGTTTCAACACATCGCTCAGTGTGTCTTTTAATAATAGTTGTCTTTCCTGTTTAGTTTTCCTCTTGTTACAAGAAACAGAGAGTGGGAATAAAATGGATTTAGGACGCCCAGCTTGAATTGCAGTTTTTCTTCTGAGAAGTGGCCAGGCTACGGTGCCGGGCCTGGTTTGCTTACCTATGTGCTAGAGGGTTTTAGATCTTGTATGTGGCTCATTTGGCAAGGAAAGCTGTAATTGTCACTAAAGAAGCCCTGGAACCTGCCAACTGTTAGATGAAGCTTGTTTCGAGTGACAGTGGCCTGAGTTGTAGGAACAGAGGAGTCTGGCACACCTGGAGGCGGAGCCGGGCAGGTTTGAAAGCAGTGGTAGTGCCCACTGCCTCCCTGTTTTCCAGAGCAGTCAATGACTTGGTTGGAGCGGAATTTGAGTGATGTGAATTATTTTGCCGTTTAATAGTGACCTCTAGGTATAATATAGAATGTGAAGGCAAACAGTTGCAATAAATCACCTGCACAAGCAACTTTGAGCTTTCTGGTTTTTTAAAGTTCTTTACAGGTTACCTAGACACACTTCTTTGTTTTTTTGTTTGTTTTTGTTTTTTTTAAAGATTTTATTTATTTGACAGAGACACAGAGAGGGAACACAAGCAGGGGGAGTGGGAGAGGGAGAAGCAGGCTTCCTGCAGAGCAGGGAGCCCGACTCGGGGCTCGATCCCAGGACCCTGGGACCATGACCTGAGGCGAAGGCAGACACTTAATGACTGAGCCACCCAGGCGCCCCTAGACACACTTCTTAAATAGGTTAAAGTAATAGCTGCTACGAGCTTGAGCACTCTGCCGACATGGGGCAGTGTCTTTCCTACTGTCAGGCCTAAGGGGTTCTCGAGTTGGGCTTAGCTTTACCTGTCATTTTTTTTTTTTTTTAAAGATTTTATTTTATTTATTTGAGAGAGAGAAAGAGCACGAGAGGGAGGAGGGTCAGAGGGAGAAGCAGACTCCCTGCTGAGCAGGGAGCCCGATGTGGGACTCGATCCCGGGACTCCAGGATCATGACCTGAGCCGAAGGCAGTCGCTTAACCAACTGAGCCACCCAGGCGCCCCTACCTGTCATTCTTAAAAGAAAGAGGTTCAGACATCCTGGGACAGGAACTGTCCTGGGTGCAGGAGGGTGTTCCAGCCCTGAAAGTGAGGGGACACATTGAAGCAAACATTACAAAACCTTTTTATTTATTTATTCATGAGAGACAGAGAGAGAGAGGCAGGAGAAGCAGGCTCCCAAGGAGCAGGGAGCCCGATGCGGGACTCGATCCCAGGACCCTGGGATCATGACCTGAGCCGAAGGCAGACGCTCAACCATCTGAGCCACCCAGGCGCAAACATTACAAATCTGTTAAATGTAAAAGGGATTTTGAATAACATCTGTTTTGTTATACAAGAAAACAGATCCTACAAATGTCATTAGTTAAGTAGTGGATCCAAATCCTCCTAACCTCTGTTAGGAGGTGTGGCAGTGTGGCTGTGTCACTCGGTTTCAGGTGGCCCGGCCTGCAGAAAACTGGAAGTTGACAGCTGCTGCTTGGCTTTGTAGTGTCAGGTGAGGCCAGGTTTTGTCACCCCCACCCCAAGAAAAGTGCAAGAACGACGTTTGTTACCCTGTTACCTGATTAAGGATTGGTAAGGAATCTCGTATTTTTAAGGCCCCGTGGGTCAGTAAGGAGACCAGCTATAGGTTTGTGCCAGTTCAGTTGTCGTGTCTCACTAATACTTTTACTCTAAATAACCTGAATTGCTTAGAGTTCATCCTAGGGGCGAGGGCACAAGGCCTCAAGTGGGAGGCTATACGTTTAGCATTATAGGGAGCCGGTCTTCCTACTGAGGCCCGGGGCGGAGGGGGAAGGAGACCTGGCCAAGCCTGAACTTCGTAAGTACACTAAATGCTACAGAAGCCAAGTACTTTTTTTTTTTTTTAAGATTTTATTTATTTATTTGACAGACACACAGCAAGAGAGGGAACACAAGCAGGTGGAGTGGGAGAGGGAGAAGCAGGCTTCCCGTGGAGCAGGGAGCCCAATGCGGGGCTCAATCCCAGGACCCTGGGATCATGACCTGAGCCGAAGGCAGATGCTTAACGACTGATTCACAGGCGCCCCGCATATTTCTTTAAGTTTCTATTTGAGAGAGAGGCGAGAGAGAGACCGAGCAGGAGAGGGAGAGAGCAAACAGAGTCTGAAGCAGACTCCATGCTGAGCACAGAGCCCCGACTCAGGGCTCAATCCCACGATCGTGAGATCATGACCAGAGCCAAAACCAAGAGTCGGATGCTTAACGGACTGAGCCACCCAGGCGCCTTGCCAAGTACTTTTATTAAACCTGCTCAGCCAGGCAATTAGATAGAGACGTCTGTAACTACTGGGGGTTCACCACCTGCAGAACCACTTAGGCAGCGCTAGGTAAAGGTGACTTCAGTTTAAGTGAACAAGTCCTCCATTTTGAGCTGATACCTTGGCCTCTGGTCCGCAGTCATCCATTTTGGCAAACTAGCAGATGCTGCTGCCTTCCAGAATGTCCTGTTCCAACAAGTGGGCCCTGAATCTCAGGCCCAGCACAGCCTGCAGAGAGGTTCACTCCATTGCTTCAGCAGCCTCCTCACCGCCATTGTCTGAAAGCTCCTCCTCATCTGACCTCTCCTCTAGTAAACAGCTTCTGGTGACAGACTTCTGGATAGCTTCCCGTTCTCCTGGAAAGGCAGGCAGAGCAGGGATGAAAGAGGTCTTTGGGAGTGACCAAAGCCTGACTAACTAAGAGGTCTTTGGGAGTGACCAAAGCCTGACTAACTCAGGCTAGTTACTGCTCAGTGGGCACTGGCTAATGTTGCTTACCTTCATCAGTGCAGTTCTGCAATAAGATCAACAGCTGTCTCCTGTTGTAACGAATCAGGAACTTCTGACATGTTCTAATTGTACCTGGCACATGAAAGAGCTCCATGGTCAACAGCTTGTGAAAGGTGTCGGCCTCAAAGACTTTTCAAGTTAGGTGAAAGCCTCCCGTTCTTGGCAGGAGAGCTGGAAGACCCACCTGCCTGTCAAGACTGAACCCTGGACCTGTTACTATTGAAAATCATCAGCCATACCACATGCACCCCTACCTCCCACGTGTAAGGTGTTGAGGAAACACGGGTAACGGTGTCCTTTGTTTTCCAAATATGTGATGAAAGGAAGAGCTGAGCACACAAGTTGGTAGAATTCCTTCCGGCATCGAAGTAGCACTATTCCAGTATAGGCATTGAGGTATCGCACTACAGCAGGGGGAAAAAAATCATTTTGGGAAACTGGATTCACTTAAAAATCTTAAGAGTAACTGAGAGTCTACTGTGTGCCAGGCAGTGGCGCTTGGGATGCATCAGTGAGTAAAAAATTTCTGAAAGAAAAAAACCTTAGGACAGACCTTCATTTATGGAAAAGGGATAAACCACACCCAGGGCTTTGCACACCTCAGAACTGGTGAAGGAATTTGGAATTTTATTTATTTTTTTAATAATTTTTTTTTAAAGATTGTATTTATTTATTTGACAGACATAGCGAGAGAAGGAACACAAGCAGGGGGAGTAGGAGAGGGAGAAGCAGGCTTCCCCGCGGAGCAGGGAGCCTGATGTGAGGCTCGATCCCAGGACCCTGGGATCATGACCTGAGCCAAAGGCAGACGCTTAACGACTGAGCCACCCAGGCGCCCCAGGAATTTGGAATTTTAAATGCTCCTCTAATTCACTGATTAACTGATAAGTGGGGTTGGGATTGGCAGGGAACCATCCTCCTCAGAGGAAACCCTTGGCTGAAAAACAGGTGGTGGGTTTTTTTTTTGTTTTTTTTTAAGATTTCATTTATTTGATAGCATAAGCAGGGGGAGAAGCAGGCTCCCCCTGAGCTGGGAGCCTGATGGGCTCGATCCCAGCACTGTGGGATCATGACCTAAGCCAAAGGCAGACGCTTAAGGCACTGAGCCACCCAGGCGCCCCCTGAAAAACAGGTTCTATTGCAACTGGACTCTCTAGGTACTTGAAGAGGCTGAGAATGACCCAATGTAAGTGAACTGTGCCTATGTGCATGTAATTCTCCAGTATTCAATTTTAAGCAAAGGGTAAAAGAGGTAATGAATTTAAATATTAAATAGTGTGGCTAGGGGAGTCTGGGTGGCTCAGTCGGTTAACGGTCTGCCTTCAGCTCGGGTCTTAATCCCAGGGTCCTGGGATGAAGCCCTGTATCAAGCTCCCTGCTCAACGCGGAGTCTGCTGCTCCCTCTCCTCCCTGTTCCTGCTCGCTCTCGCTGTCTCTCTCTTTCCAATAAATATTTAAATAAAATCGTAAAAAAAAAAACTTGAAAAAAGCATGCCTGTCAGAAGAATCCTCTTCCTCATTTACATACGGTGGTGGGTTCTGTATTTCATCTGCCCTATTAAGGGCTTTTTAGGGGTAATTTTGACAATTTTTTCCCCCATGGGATGTCAATGTAACCAAGTAACTTAACTCGGAACTACACATGGCTTCCCCCATTTAATTCATTATCCTGCTCAATTCAGTCACAATCCCCAATATACACGTGTGAAATAGGTAAAGCAGATTCTTGCCCAAAGTGCCCTGCCTTTCAGCTCTCCGCCTAACCTCGGACTCGTCCAGACTTGGGCTTAGACTCCGAGTGGCCTCAAGAGGACGATACTGTACAGTGAGGTCTGTGTATCGGGCTTGGAAGCTCCTGCGGTCGCTCGTACCCTTTCTTTCTCCCTCTTCCGGCCCCCGTTCCCTCCCAATCCCGCCGTCCGCCTAGTTCCCAGGACCCTCGCACCCGCGAAGCCGATGGAGCAGGAGGCCGCGCCGAAAGTCCCGTGCACGCGGGCGATCGTGTCCCGTATGAGGCCGCCCAGCACTCGGTCCTCCAGACTCAGGCGGCAGCGGGGGTCATCAGACACCACTTCGCAGAGCAGGTACCTGCGGCGGGCAGCAGGAAAGTGAGCGCGGGGCCGAGGCCGCGGGGACCCCGCAGGGCAGCGGGTGCTGGACAGAGTCCTTACCTGTGTTTGAATCGCACCATGGCTGCTTCCGCGCCCGGCGGCCCTGCGCCCAAACCGGATATCTGCTGGCGGCCAATGGGAAATTACCCTCCGCAGTCTTGCAACCACTCAGAGAGGGAAGCAGGGTGGGAGGGCGGGGCTAGAGGGTTGGGAAGCCGAACCCAGTGTCAGGCTCCTTTAAGTCCTACCTCCCTCTACATTTGTAGAGCGCATGCGTCCTGCTGACAGCCCTGCCCAGTTGTTTGGCGGTGGAGATCCGCGATGGAGTGGCGTGTGGTTGCGTTGGGTGTTTCTGCAACACGCTAGTTTGCAATTCTGTGTAGGACGCAGCCGCATTTGGGGCTCTCGGGCTATTTACTTTTTATTACCTTGCAGTGAAGTTGTGTATGCACTTATATTCGCTCCCTAAACTAGACGGCACAACTTTTGAGGGCAAGACCCTGCATTTACACGCCTGGGATTGACACGGTAAATCGGACCCCTAGTTTCAGGTTAGAGCTCTGTTTTTTTCGTACAGCCAAATATGTTATTACTGTTTGGGTCTTTCAACAATCTTATGTAAACCTGTGCATTGCCTCGGCTTTTGTTTGCAGAAACAATCCGTGGTTGTTATATTTTACTTAAAAAAAAAAAAGTACCAAGAAGGAAATAAAAAATTATAATCTCAGCACCGGGAGAGAATAATTTATCATGTAGTGTATTTTCTTCCTTTTCGTTCCCCCTGTGCCATCGGGCCTCAAAGTGAGGTCCAGGGACCACTGGGTTTTCTGAGACTCTTTCCAGGTGTCCCTAATGTCAAATTACTTTCATAATAATACTAAGATGTTATTTGCCTTTTTCACTTTCTCAGAGTGGACAGTAAAGTTTTCCAGAGACTATGTGACATGTGCTGACATTATAACTCTGATGGCTAATGGGATTTTCTATTGTGTTTTAAACACTTCTCAGTTTTATTTGTTTATTTGGAATCTTTACATTTCTCAGTTTTAATATCCATGATAAGTATCAGTATATCCTATAAAAACAAAAGCTCTTTGGGATCCTCAATAATTTAAGAATGTAAAGGGGTCCTGAGACAAAAAACTTAGAACTGCTGCTCTATGATTAATTATATTTTTCCTTTTATTTTCTTATGAATAGGATCAAACTGTTTAGCACTTTTTTTTGCTTTTTTTTTTTACAACTGAATTATTGAGGTGTACTATGCATAAAGTACATATTAAGTGTAAGGCTTAATGAATTTTTACATATGTGTAGACTTTTGTAACTACCACCCATATTAATAGGGAGCATTTCCACACCCAAGAAGGCTCCTTGCTCTCTTCCCAGTCAAAACCTTCCCAGAAATAGCCTCTGTTTTGAATTCTATCATGATAAGACCAATTTCGCCTGTTCTTGAACTTTATTTTTAAAGATTTTATTTTTTGAATTTATTTGAGAGAGAGAGTGCGACAGAGCACAAGCAGTGGGGAAGGGCAGAGGGAGAGGGAGAAGAAGACTCCCCGATGAGCAGGGAGCCCTATTCTGGGCTGGGATCCCAGGACCTTGGGATCATGACCTCAGCTGAAGGCAGCCGCTTAACCAACTGAGCCACCCAGGCACCCCTGTTCTTGAACTTTATATAAAATCCAACAGTATGTTTGTGTGTGTGTGTGTGTGTGTGTGTGTGTGTGTATGTCTCCTTTTGCTCAACATAACGTAAGATTCATTCTTGTTTGTTTTCATGTCAACCCTTCTGCAATGTTTTTCAGCTGCACAGATATAACACTGCTAAATTGGTCAATATTCCCACGATAGACAAATTAGTTCCAGATTTTTTTGTTATACCCAGTACGCTGGTTCACAGCTTTGTAACTTGATCTTTGTACCTATCCCTATTTGTAGAATTGTGGAATTGGCTGGCCTTGTGAGGTCCATGAAGGGAGGCCACGTATTTGCAAAGTCTGGAATGAATCCTCAATTTCCCCATCTCTCAACTCTTTGCCACCATAAAGAAGGGATGCTGAGGAAGGAAGGGGAAGAGGGGAGGCGGGGAGGCGGGAGGGCAGTGGCCTTGCTGAGGGACCCGTGTCTACGCTCTCTCAACCCAAAACAACCTGTTTATCCAAAAACGGTCTCACCAGCATCCCCCTTTGGCCAGCAGGGGGCGTCAGAGGCCCGTTGTGCGCGGAGAGGAGCCTCAGAGCACCCCTCCCTGCGCCTCGCGTCCCTAAAGTAACACCAACACTTCCTAGCTTTCAACTCGCTTAATCCCAACGCCGCGCCCATTTTATTGATGCAGTTGGGGCTCAGCCCAAAGTCACATCCAGTAAGGAGCTGGATTAGAATTCGAACCCAAGGCCATCCGACTCGAGTCCTTACTCTCGCCCACGCAGCAGCTGCTGTCCTGTGCACGGTTTTGCCTGTCCCCTCACTATTTTCCAGCCACTTGCTGCCGGGGAGGCCAATTCACGTCCCTAGACCTCAGTTTCCTCATCTGTGCAGCAGGATGACGGTGGTCCCTCGCTCGCGAGTGAACCGGAGAGAAACGAGATAGCGTGGGCGAAACGCCTGACACCGGGAGCGCACCGTACACGCCGTTTTGAGTGAATGGTCTGCTCCTCCCCGCCCCCGGCGTAGCCCCCGGAGCAAGCACACTGGGGCAGTCCCGGGCCTCCCCTCCTCGGGACCGGGTCCGGCTCCCCCGCCCCGGCCGCACGGGGGGGTCCAGACACCCGCGGTGGCCCGGCGGCCGGGGCGGCGGCGTGGGCGGTGCAGCCCGCTCCCCGCGGTAATTAGCCCGCGCCGGCTCCGGCTCTTCCAGCCGCTAATTACACGTCTCCTAATGAGGCCGGCGGCTGTTCGCAACCACCCGGGTCCCCGCCGCGCGGCGCGGGAGGCCGCGGGGGAATCCGCCGGTGGAGGCGTGGACGCGCTCGGCGGCGGCGACGCGCCTGCGCCTCGGTGGTGCGGGTCCCCGGGATGCCTGCCGGGCGGGGGCGGGGCGCTCGCCCGCAGTCGCTCGTCGAACCTTCACCGCAGCGCCCGAGTGATCCCCACCTTACAGGGAGAAGGGCCGCCGAGGCTCAAACTCACAGGTGCAGAACTCAGGCGGGAAGAGGCTAATCGCGATCTGACCCCGAACCTGGGCACTTACCTGATCGGTGGGGGTACTTCCTGTTGTTACTCCTGGGAGTTCTCTGAAAGGGCAGATCCTACATCAGATCAATAAGGGGAAGGTGGGGGTGCTTGGGAAACTTCCTTCCAGTGCCTTCTTCTCACTTGAGAGTTCCCATTTGCTCTTTTGGATCAGACACAAAATGGAATTATTAGCTTTGGCAAGGCCTTTAAAACTTACTTGGAAACATAAGTCACACATCCCATTTTCCAGACTGGGACATCTGGAACATTCCCTAGGACGTGGTTGGGGCAACTGCTAAATCGCTCTCCTAGATGGGGATGGGGGGCCACTGCTGTGTACCTTGTTCCCAGGCTCTTCTGAGGTGGGGTCCAGAGTAGCTGCTTTTATTCTTCATCTGTATCTTTGGGGCTTCCATGTATCAGGCTCTCACTGTGTGCCAGGCACTGTGTAAGCACTTTCATTTAGCCCTCAGGACAACCTTCTCTGAGGTCAAGGAGCAAATGACTTGTCCAAGGTCACAACCTAATGTCAGCAGACAAAAGACCTTTTTTGTCTCCCCCCCCAACACCTATGCTCTTAACCCCTTGCTCTCTACCTCTTCTGGGATGTCTGGGACCTAGAAGGATGTTCGGAGAAGGCGAACCCGATTGGGGTGTCATTCTGAGGTGACTTGGGCATCCAAGGGTCCCTACCAGGGTGTGGATGCTTGCTGCCATGGTGGGTGGTGGTAAAGGGAAATTGTATCTGCTGCAGCATTTTGTTAAGCAGCTGCTGCTCATTAGGGGTGCCTGCCCCTCTGATCCAATCAACCAATTCCCTGTAAAACCTTTATGGGAACAATCTGTATAAAATTCAACCCTCCATCTGCTTGGCCAGGGTCTTAGGGAGCTGCTGCGTCCTCCAGGTTCCGGGGGGGCAGACATGGCCCTCTCTGGGCCTCAGAGACAGAACACTGCATCTCACTCCTCCCTCGTCCTCACTGCCTTATGGACTTCCTTCCCTCTTCCCTGCCTGCCGTGAGGGTTCACTCATCCAAAAATTAATTGAAATTACAAGGGCACTACGGTTTGACCCAGCAATTTCTCTGCCAGGAATTTATCCCACAGAGATTCTTGCAGTTGTGCCAAATGACAGGTGAACGAGGATGTGTCTTGGAGTATTGTTTCTGATAGCACAAGGCTATCTCAATGTCTATCAGAAAGGATCCACTGTATGTGTATATCTATCGGACACCATGTGCCAGAGAATGTTCTAAACACTTTACATAGATTGACTCATTTAACCCTCACAGCTACCCTTTACATGAGATACTTTAATTTTAGTAACTCATTTACAGGTGAGGAAAGGGAGACCCAGAGGGAACAGGTAGCTTGCCCAAGCTTCACATAGATAGTAAGCAGCAGTACCAGGCAGCCCATATTCTAAATCCCTATGCGAATATAACTTCTCTGTCTTTATGTGCATGGAGAATTTCCAAAAAGGGACCCAAAAGCAATCGGCGGAAGTTGCCTCTGGGGAGAAGAATTAAAGGTGCGGAGTCGGAGGGGAACTCCCTTTTTCCGGGGTCCCCTTTTGTACCATTCTGTTTTACCAGGTGCACGTGTTAGTTTCATAATTTAGAGGCGTTTCTGAGTCCCCAAAGCGTGTTATTGCTAGTTCTTACCTCAACCCTGGGAGTGGGTAATAATCAGCCTCATTTTGTAGGTGAGGAAGTTTGAACTCCCTGCATGGGCCGGCCAGCCACGTGCCTGGGAATGACAAGAGGGCTGTCAACCCAGTGCTCATTCCCTTAATTTATATTAGCCCCCTGGGCTTGCAAGATTCAGAGGGAAGAAAAACAAGGTTCAGAGGGTTAAAAGCATGGACGCAGGGGGCCAGCTTGCCTGTGTTCAAGTCCTGACTCAGCCACTCAACCCTCTGT